CTCTACTCTGCCAGCGCCACCACCCGGAGCTCCGTCGCTGCTCTCCAACGCCTCCCCGAGCTCCTCCATCGTTGTCAAGCTCACCGCCAACCAGCGCCTCCATCGTACGCCACGTGTTCTACGAAATGCCAACGCAGAGCCAGTTGCAGAATCGCACACCAACAGCCCCCGTCGAACCCCGTTGAGCCCTCAGTGATGACAACCGCGTCGTTTAGATCCACTGCTCCCTTTCAGACTGTCGTACTGCATCCACAGCAGCATCACTGCCTCGTCATCAGGCCCCTGGCCTCGTAGGCAAGATCCCGTTGCTCAGTTTGTCATTCTTTACATTTTAGATTGTTGTGAATTATCTGCATATTCTGAATTGTGAAATAATTATCTGCGTGGGTTGTTTGGTGAAATAATATTAGATAAATCATAATAATCTGATAAATAACATTTTTAGAATGATTATAATCTTAAAAGAAGTTATTTCGGTACCAGAATTATTTTGAGATGATTATGCTAATTTAAAAAGAATTTATTTTGAGAACGGAATCATTTTAGATAATTATAATAATTTAAAAGAAACTATCTTGGAAGAAGAATATTTTTAGAATAATTATAAATAAATTAAAGGAATTTATTTTGAAAAAGAAATTATTTTAGATTAATTTTAATTAGAAAAGAAATTATTTTGTAAGAGGAAATATTAAAAATAATGTTTTTAGAATTATTTAAAAGGAGTTATTTTAGAAAATGGAATTATTTTTGGATAATTATAACAAGAAATAAAAGATTTATTTCGAATAAGGAAATCATTTTGAAGTAAATAAATTTATTAATTTAAAGGATTATTTTTGAATGTGTGATTCTCATTTTAATTAGGTGATATGCCATGATATCGTTGCGCATGATTGGTTGTACTTATTGTTTCCTATTGTGCTTGAGAACCCCTAGCAGTTCATGACTTAGTGACCTCGTGCGTCATGAACAGATTTAGTGACATGTGTGAGTGTGTTGACTTAGTTTAAGTGGTGAACCCGAGTTAATAGAAATTATGATTGTTGATTTAGACAAAGAAGAAGAGTTGGGATGGGGAAGTCCATGTTCATGTGATCGGATATAACTGTTGATGTATCTTCCAGGCTCACCCTATGATCCAGTGTAGCTTGGGGTTAGTTTGTTGGGTCAAAGTGAAGCCAGTGTAGTCACTTTAGTCCGTGAATTTGATATTCCCCCGGGTTTTGCTTGAGTTCGAACCATGCTGAAAACGGATTGCGTGTAGCCCTCTGACCGATCCAGTGTAGCAGCATATTAGGTGCACGTAGAGGATTTGTGAACAGTCAGTTATCCGATGATATGAGTGTTGACTCTATGTAAGATGTGGACCAGTGAGTTGAGATAGGATGGCTAGTTACATGACCTCGATTCTTGGCTAAGTATGATTCTTGTGAGATGTAAGCCAGTTGCGTTTCTTTTCATACATAGATTGGGGTTAATATTTAATTATCTACAATTTGAGACATATGGTATATACATGAGGGTTTTCTTGTTTGGATAATTTCGCTCGATATACTACGTCTCATGTTGTAGATTTTTAGGTATTAATTCCATCTATTGTATGCCCTTGTAACTTGGATGATTAGACTGATCGCTAGCTACATGATCTCGTTACCTGATCGATTTTGGATGCTTTATGTTATCATGATTTAGTAGTGTTTTCATGTTGATTTGTGGATTTCAGTTGTACGTTCTTTGTTATTTCTGTTATTGTATCGTTTTCCGCTTGGGTTTTCGTTCGTTCTATTTTCTTTTGTGGGGTATTGCCGTGCGCCATGCACGCTGACGTACACCTGTTTTCTCTGGTGTACGTCAGACTTAGAGGAAGAACAGGTTCAGCTGGGAGATCGCCAGGAGCCGGAGGATTCTTAGCAGGAGTGCCTTATAGATGGAGCAGAAGAACAAGTTAAAGCTTAATTATTCCTTTCAGTTTATTTTCGTAGCATTTCCTTTTCGCCTGATCTTTGTATTTTTATATTCTCTTCAGTATTTCTTTTGTTTAGTCATGTATAAGGGCATGTTTGACCCGTACATTATGTCTCAAATGTTATCCTATTTGTGATATGATATTTTTATTCTGAGTTTGTCTATTATATTATTGCTGATTGTGATTGGGGACCTGTGACTTCGTATTGTATTTATTTCTAGATGCTTAGCGTATTGGATTGAGAAGAAAAAGAAGAGAAAAAAAATGATAGTGTATATTCTTCTCAATCTAATACGTCGCGGGCTTGTTCACGTTCCGATTCCCCTAGTATCTTGGGAAGCGGGGCGTGACAGGTTTTAGTGATGGCCCATGCAGGTCACGATCCCGAGTTTCCACTAGTGAGAATATAACGGATAACTTAGATACATATCATATTTCATCCGTGAGACTATTCTTGAGTTCCTATCCTATTTTCTTGATTGATTTTGTTTCGTCCCTATCTTATCACTCTTTGATTCCAAAGTTTTCCACGGTTCTTGTCCCATCGTTTCGCGATTACCCTCAGTTTGTATAACCTCTCTTTCCACATGCCGGTCATTATTATATATGTGTTATTATTTTTACGATTATATTTTCTTTAATTTGACTTATATATCGTTGATTGTATTAATTTTTGTATTATTTATTATATTTTTTTATGTATCACACACATTGTTATATTGTATGTTTTTTATTAAAAATATATATCATTACTTATACATTTTTAATTGTTCAAATCATATTCTTTGAATGTTTCGCATTGCTCTAGACTTCGCATATACATCACATAGCATATATGATATTCATATTATTTTCTTATATTTAAATATATTTTTACATATCTAAATTGTGTATGTGTGCGATTTTCCTGTCATACCATCTATTATTTAATTATGTTTTAGATTATTGTATATTGTTCATATTTTTAGTGATATACATTAATAAGTTCATGATTTTAATATTCTACATATGCAGTATATTCCTATCCCTTTTATTTTCAGTACATAGTATGTTCACATTGTTTTCGTTATTTTTAAGAACAATGTAACTCTATTTTGATATTCAAATAATTATTTATATTGTTAAGTTTAGAGTTGAGTTACTAATTATATAGTTATTTTATTACATTAATTATTATCCTTTTATAATTAATATAAAGATGATTCTAAATAGCATTTGTGAGTATGTAAAATATTTATTTTCATGGTTTGTTTATAGTGTATTGCATATTTGTTGTTGTTTGATTCATTTTCGATATGTATTGTTTTATCATTGTGACAATATACATTGTATACACGTGTTATTATTCAGTATTTATTTTATGGTATTTTTGATTTTTACGGCTTTTATTGTGCTATTGGTTGTTGCTCATTCTCTATTCATTATTTTCGTTTACTTGTGTTGTGTTTTATTTTCTTATTATTTTTATATTTATTATTCTCTTTTTAGTGTATTCACGTACATTATTATAATTATGATGTATAGTTTTATTGATTTATAGTCATTTATCAACTTTGTCTAATCATGTTCTGTTTCATGTATTATCAGTGTTTATGTTCACATGTCGTTAATCATTCATGGTATGTTTATCTAAAATATGTCTGTGTTTTATTTATACGAATTTATGCTCTTCTTACGTTTTCATTTGTTTATAAATCTACTTTATCTTCAATAGTCCATATTTTATCTATTATACACATTTAATTATGTATATTTATGCTGGTTGTATTTATGTGATTTTAACTACTATACAATATATTGCGATATCTGAATTGATTTTATATAGTAATGATTATTATTATTGTATCTTGTTTATATTTATTATTTTACTTTATGGACATTACTAATATTTCTGATTTATTATATTATTTTTGAATATATATAGTTATGTCCTTATTATGTTTTATATAATATGTTTATTTTGATTCACTTGTTTGCCCTTATGTCTATTTTATAATATAATATTTTTGTAACTATTTCCATCATAGTTTATCTTGTTAGCATGATTAATACTATGAGTATTCAGACTTTTATGTGCTTATTATTATGTATGTGGTTTTATTTTAACGCTTATTATACACAATGATTATATTTGATATATTAAATAAACATGTTTAATATTGATTTAGTATTGTGTCTTGTATGATAATTATTCACTATCATATGCTCTCAAAAATTATTGCTTATAACTACAACTATTTTATTGTCTTGTATGATAATTATTCACTATCATATGCTCTCAAAAATTATTGCTTATAACTACAACTATTTTATTGAATTTATCATCATGTTACATCCTTACTGTTTGCTATATTTGATTATTATATCTATGCTTCTTTACGTGTGGTTATGTTTTGACTACCTTTGACATGAGTTGCTATAGTACTATCTTTGAATTTTTTTCATAATTGTAATTTCTTATTTTTGAT